AGGATTTTTGTTTTCTTTATATTGAAATGCAATCCATACTGAAGGCTGTAGTCTTATATCTTCATCAGTAAGTATTTTAAGTCCTTGTCACTTTCAGCAAGTAAGGTCGTATCATTTGCATATCCTAGGTTGTTAATAAGTCTTCCTCCAATCCTGATGCAATGTTTTCCTTCATATAATGGAAGGAATACACAGAGTGTTGGTCCATGTTCAGCCATTTCAATAGGTAGCATATTATCAAGAACTGATTGAAGGAAGATGTCCAAATTGTGCTAACAGTGCTGGCAAAAACCAAGGTTCCAGGAGCTGATGGAATACAAACTGAAATTATTCAACAAACTGAAACAGTACTGAAGGCACTCACTCATCTATGCCAAGAAATTTGGAAGACAGCTACCTTATTAACCAGTTGGAAGAGATACATATTTGTGCCCATTCCAAAGAGAGGTGACCCAACAGAGTGCAGAAATCATCAAACAATATAATTAATACCATTTTCAAGCAAAATTTTGCTGAAAATAATTTAAAAATTATTGCAACAGTACGTTGACAGGGAGCTGCCTGAAAGTTAAGCTGGATTCAAAAGAGGACATATAACAAGGAATATCTTTCCTGATGTCAGAGCGATCTTGACTGAAAGTAGAGCATACCAGAATGACATTTGCTTTTGTTTTATTGACTATGCAAAGACTTTTGACTGTGTGAGTTATAATAACATTGCAAAGAATGGGTATTCTAGAACACTCAATTGTGCTTATGAGGAACCTACCTGTACGTAGACCAAGAAGCAGTTGTTAGAACAAAACATGGTGATACTTAATTTAAAATCAGGAAAGGTGTGTGCCTAGGTTGTATCCTTTCACCATTCAATACTTATTCGATCTGTACGTTGAGCTATAATCTGAGATGCTGGATTATATAAAGAAGATTTAATATAGGGTCCAGCAATTGTATTCTTAGATATTTATTCAAATGAATTGAAATTCATATTCACACGTAGAATTATCTTATGACCCAGAAATTTCACTGACAGGTATATACTTAAGAGAGTTGAAAGCAGGGACTCAGATAGATTTTGTGCACCAAGGTTCCTTATAGCACAATTCACAATAGCAGAAAGGCAGAAATAACCCAGATGCTCATTAACAAATGAATGGATAAATAAAATGTCGTATATGTGTGAAAGAATATCTTTATTGGCTATGCAAAGCCATTTAACTGTGCGGACCATAACAAACTATTGAAAACATTGTGAAGAATGGGAATTCCAGAGTGCATAATTATTCAAGAGGAATCTTAAATAGACCAAAAGGTAGTCATTAAAGCAGAACAAGGAGACACCAAATGGTTTTAAATCTGGAAATGTGTGCATGTGTTAGAGTTGTATCCTCTCACCATACTTAATCAATATGTATGCTAAGCAAATAATCCAAACAGCTGGATTATATGAAGTAAAGCTTGACATTAGAATAGAAGAAGACTCATTAGCAAATTGGAATATGCAGATGAAAGAACCTTGCTTGCTGGTAGGGGAGAGCACTTAAAATATTTACTGATAGAGATCAAAGAATATAGCCTTCAGTATAGATTGTCCTGGTGTGGTGCTGTGGGTTAATGCGCCAGACTGCAAAGCCATTTGACCTACAAGGCTGGTGGTTCACGCTCACCAGTCACTCTCTGGAAACCCTATACAGGGACGCTATGGGTTGGAACTGACTCAACGGCACTTAACAACAACATAGATTGTACCTCAATGCAAAGAAAAATATCTTCACAACTGAACCAGTAAATACAATCATAATAAATGGAGAAAAGATTGAAGTTACCAAAGACTTCATTTTGCTTGGGTCCAAAATCAATGCTCATGGAAGCAGCAGTCAAGAAATCAACTGACGTATTGCATTGGGCAAATCTGCCACAGAAGACCTCTCTAAAGAATTACAGAGTGAAGATGTCAGTTTTGGTACTAAGTTGTACCTGACCCATACCATGATATTTTCAATGATCTCATATGCGTGTGAAAGCTGCACAATGAATTAGGAAGAATTGATGCATTTGAATTAAGTTGTTGATAAAGAATATCCAATGTACTATGACTGATTGTCCAAGTGGCAGCATCGATGGACTCAAGCCTGGCAACAGTAGTGAGGTTGGCCCAGGATCAGGCAGTGTTTTATTCTGCTATGCACAAGGTTGCTATGGGTCAGTACTGACTCAATGGCACCTAACAACAACAACAAATGACTGCTAGAAGAACAAATAAATCTGTGTTGGAAGAAAGACAGTCAAAATACTTCTTATAAGTGAGGATGGCAAGACACTGTCTCTCATACTTTGGACATGTTATCAGTAGAAGTACATCATATTTGGTAAAATGGAGAGTCAGTGAAAATGAGGCAGACCCCAAACAAGATGGATTGACACAGTGGCATGGACAATGGCCCAAACATAACAACAATTGTGAAGAAGGTGCAGGACTGGACAGTGTTTTGTTCTGTTTTGCATAGAGTCATGATAATGTGGAACCAACATGAGAACTCCTAACAATAAAAGCATGCAATTAAACGCTATTGAATCCTAAACAGAAATGAAATTCTAATACATGCTTTGACATGGATAAATCTTGAAAACATTAATGTGAGCAATAATGTTTAATGTAAGTGAAAGAAATTGAACATAAAGGGGAAATGTTTAACTCTACTAGATAATTCACTTAAGTGAATTATCTAGAAGAGTTAAATAAATAAAGACAAAGGTTATCAGGGTCTAAAGAAAGGAATAAATGGGAGTAATTGCTGAAGGAGACCTGGTGTGGTGTTATGGGTTAATGCGTCAGACTGCAAAGCCATTTGAACTGCACGGTCAGTGGTTCAAGCTCACCAGCCGCTCCTCTGAAACCCTATACAGGGTCACTATGGTTTGGAACTGACTCAATGGCACTTAACAACAACAATATTGCTGAATGGGTACTGAACTTCATTTTTCAAATGAATAGTGGTAAAACTAGACATGGTGAATTTAATTAATGTGACTAACCTCTAGAGGCACTCAAAAATAATGAAAATGTCAATTGTTTTATTGTGTTGTTGTTGTTGTTGTTAGGTGCCATTGACACAGATACAACTCATAGTGACCCAATGCACAACAGAATGAAACACTGCCCAGTCCTGGGCCAATCTCACAATTGTTACCACTTTTGAGTCCATTGATGCTGCCACTTGACCAAGGCATCTTGCTGGGGGTCTTCCTCTTTTTCTATGACCCTCCACCATACCAAACATGATATCTTTCTCCAGCAACTGGTCCCTCCTGACAATATGTCTGAAATATAAGAGGCGAAGTTTAGCCATACTGGCCTCCAAGGAGCACTCTGGCTGCACTTCTTCCAAAACAGATCAGTTGGTTCTTTTGGCAGCCCATGGCACTTTCAATATTCTCCTCAAAAACCATAACTCAAATGCATCAATTCTTCTACGATCTTCCTTATTCACTGTCCATCTTTCACATGCATATGAGGTTATTGAAAATATCATGGCTTGGATCAGGTGCACATTAGTCCTCAAGCTGACATCTTTTTCTTCAATACTTTAAAAAGGTCTTGTGCAACAGATTTGTCTAATGCAATGTGTCATTTGATTTCTTGACTGCTGCTTCCATGAGAGTTGATGGTTGATACAAAAAGAATGAAGTCCTTGACAACTTTTATCTTTTCTCCATTGATAAGAATGTTGTTTATTGGTCCAGTGGTAAAGATTTTTCTTTTCTTTACAATGAGATACAGTCCTTACTGAAGGCTGTGCTCTTTGTTCTTCATAAGCAAATATTTTAAGTCCTCTTCAGTTTCAGAAACCAAGGTTGTATCATCTGCATATCGCAGATTGTTAATGAGTCTTCCTCCAATCCTGATGCCACGTTTTTCTTCATATAGCCCAGCTTCTTGGATTATTTGCTCAGCATACAGGTTGAATAAGTATGGTGAAAGAATACACCCCTGTGGCACACCTTTCTTAATTTTAAACCATTCAGTGTTCCCATGTTCTGTTTGAACAACTGCTTCTTGGTACATGTACAGATTTCTTATAAACACATTTAAGTGTTCAGGAAGTGTCCGATGATTTCCGCATTCCATTGGTTGTCGCATTCCGTTGAGTCACCTCTCCTTGGAGGGGGCACAAATATGGATCTTTTCCAATCAGTAGGCCAGATAGTTGTCTTCCAAATTTCTTGGCCTAGATGAGTGAGTGCCTCCTGTGCCATCTCACTTTCTTGAAAGATTTCAATTTTTATTTCATCAATTCTTGGTGCCATAAAACAACAAAAAGAAAGTCACAATTACACAAATGTACATTTACAATTGTAGTATTATTTCATCATTATTAAAGAGAAGACTCAAGCATAATCAATAAATATAACAATGAATAATAATCTAGATATTGATAACATACTATCTTAGGTGGCTAATAGAGTATTTCTCTCATTATTCTTTAAATTTCAATATTATATACACTTTGGGACATAATATTTTTTAAGTAGTATGAAATAATATGATGAAATTTATTAACGCTATTACATGAATTCCTTTTTTTTTTTTTTTAAGTTATAAAGAGGGAGTTGACGGACTTTTCCCTTCTCTGTATTTACAGGTGTCTTCAGATTGCTGTGAGTCAGAACTGACTTGACGGTAGTGAGTGTGCTTTGGTTTGGGTCTCAGATATTAAATGCCATATGCAGTTTGGTTTAAATGATTTAATCATTGTTCATTTTCAGCAAAATTATATGCTTCCTTGGTTGCTTGTTTTTTCAAAAAAAGATAAGAAAAAGCTTCAATTTTCGTGCCATTTATTCTAAAACAGCGAACTACATTAGGAGCGACCATGGTTTTCACTTAAATAAATATTTTCTAATTTAAAGTAAAGAGAAAATGATAAAGCAATATCGGGCCATTTAGAGTAGGTAAGAAGAGTGGGTGGGTCCCTGGGTTCTGAGGAAATCCAACTTACGCTAGGTGGAGATGACTGCACTACACAGAGCAAGTCTATGAAGTGTGCTCCTCCACATTCTGCCTTGATGCTGTAAGGAAGATCAGCTAAGGGAGGCCTGTCAGAGTGGAGCAGCAGGGCTAACAGAAGGCATTCCAGATGGACACTGCTGAAAACAAAGTGAGCCATCGTTTCAAGGCACGACACTGGACAGGCTAGCTGACTGCCCTGTGTTTCAATTACTCAAGTCCAAGGAGGGAAACAAAAATATGAGCTAATTGAAAAACTCATTGTAACTAAATTGAGATTTCTGAGAGTAAAGCATTGTTAATGATGAGAATTAATGGTTGGGTAAAGCCTGCATCCAAAGTTTGGGTCACTGAATATCAGTAAGTCTATTTTTAAATCATTTTTGATTTTACAGTGACATCTCAGACTGGAAATCGTTGATTTAGCAGAATAGTTATGTCACACACTGAGCACCAATTGAAATATGCGAATCATATCTTTACTGTTTTGTAAGGGATATCACAGTCGAAAGAGCTAATAGCATTGACATGGAAGAAATATGATAGGGAAAACACATATGTTGTGCGTTTACTAATTTTGAAAGCTCTTTGAAAAGCAGACAGAAGATATTACTGCTAAGACTGCTTCAGAGAACTGGTAATCATTTTTAAAAAGTACACAAGCAACAAAAAGTCATTGAGATCAAGCTTGTTTCCTCAGTAGGGAAACAAGTAGGCTGGTAGGGAAGGGTAACTTAGAGTTTGGCTATCAAAAATGGGGGGCTACAAAGGCATGAATTGACTGGCTTACAAGCTTTTATGAGGGTGGTTAATGTCAGAACAAGGGAGGGTAAGAAGAGTGAATCCTCACTGAATAGTTTCCCTCTTTCCTGGTGAAATGAGATGGGGGATGACAGGGGTAGGCTTTTATGATTCAATTGTGAGTAGTGGTTATTAGGACTAATGGCGATGGTCACAACTGCAAATGTAGAAGAGGTATAACTAGAAAAAGAGAGCAGTTAATCTGTCGTTTCAGGAACAGAGGACCCTAAGACCATCAAGAGGGAAGAGCATGAGTGGAGCTTGGGATGGTGGCAGAGGCGGTGGCATAGAGCACCTGAGGACTAAAGGCCCATGGACTAAGGAAGGCAGTGTGCCTGTAAGCAGGAGACTAGCTTGCAAAATGTGCCTTTAGCTGTTTAAATGAATATATACTTTCAGTGTATTACATGTACATTAAAAAAAAAAAAAAAAAGGGAACAGAGGAAAAAATTGTTACTTTATGGTACATGGAGGGGATTGTGATGATTTGTTGCATGTAAATGCAAATTGATGATCTACCCTGTAAACCTTCACTCAATTCATAATAAAAGCTTTAAGAACAACAAAAAAAAGCCATTGAACCCAAACTTGGGAGAATACAGGAATTATGAGAATAAAAACGGCAAACAGGTAAAAATTCTCTTCTATTTCATTTGAGAAGCTCTGAATGAAATATATTCTCTTAGATAATGAGAGAAAATAGTTTGATGCAGACAACAAATGGTACTAAGTGCTCATTACTTTTAACTATGCAATTTAAATACTCAAGTGCATCAATGGAAAAGAGATTTAATAGTGAGCTTCATTGATATTTGCTCCTAAAAGAAAATGATCCCTACAGATTATCACATTTTGTTAGACTCAACATAAGAATGAATAGCAATTACACAGTTTCAGAAGAAGAGGGGCATGAGGGAAAACTGAAATGTGAACAAAACAACAGTTGGGCTTTCTTCCATTGTTTATTGGTACTTTGGGAATTTTCTGCAGCTTTGTCTTTCATGGTTGCTTAATAAATGGAAATACAGTACATAGCCTACATGTTTAGGGTGTGATTCACAGAATGATACTAATTTGCCTATGGGCCCTCTGCCTGCCTTATTTCAGTGTGCACATCTTTTCAGTATCTGGAAGCATACTTGCAATTTTCCCAAAGGCCAAGGGCTGTAGTCATTTTGCCAATCATTTTCATACACCGGATTAAATTATGCAACCATCTGTAGCTGTAAGCATCTAGGTTGAGTATAATGAATTTATAATCTCAAACGTATTCATCCTTGATTTCCTCATCACACAATTTTTATTCTTTTCAAACAACTGTGGAGTCAGGATGTACAGACTATCATTAATCCAGAATGCCCACCCATTCTCATTTGCTTTGCTGCCCACCATACTGTTTTCTCAGAATTGTCTACCCTAAACTACCAAGAACACTTTCCTGTGTTGTTGTTAAAAGAGTGGAATCTAGGGTCAGGGTGCCTGCTTGTTAATGTGTGGTGGTGATGGTAGATGTGTGCCATGTAGTCAGTTCTGACTCATAGCAATCTTGTACAGGCTTTTGGAGGTTGTAAATTTTTACAGGAGCAGAAAGAACCTGGTAGGTTCAAACTATTGACCTTGTGGTTAGCAGCCCAGCTCATAATCCACTAGACTACCAGATCTACTTAATGTGGTTAATGTGTTAATGTGGACTCCTGGTGTGGCACTGTAAGAGCAGCACTGGCCTGCAAACCACAAGGTTGGCAATTCAAACCCACCAGCTGCTAAGGGAAAATTATTGTATGTGCTTTACTTTCCTAACTTCTGAAAATTCTGAGAATATTTTCATATAGCTACTAAGAGGAAGAAATTAGTTTAGAAAATTAACATGCAGTAAGCAAACTGGCATACAGTCAAAAACCAAAATTTATTAGCTACAACTATTAATATTACACATTATTATTATATTACATCCCTGTTGTTGTTGTTGTTGTTGTTGTTGTTGTTAAGTGCCATCAAATGGTTCCAACTCTGAGCAAACCTGTATAGAGTTTTTGAGGCTTTATATCAGTTTTCTCTCACAGAGCTGCTGGTGGGCTCAAACCACTAACAGTGTGGAAATGGACCATGCAAATTGAATTAAAACCAATGACAATTGAAAATACCACAGCTTACTCTACAGAGCCACCATGTTCCCTAGATGGGATCACTTTCTCCTGCCAGGCTCCATCTTCACCTATTCTTGTAAGTGTTGTTTATAAGAAACTTAGGGAACAAGTACAGTTATTTGTCTGTTGTTGTTAAGTGCTGTCGAGTCTGTTCTGACCCATAGCTACCCTGTATTGGGTTTTTGAAAAGTGGCTGGCGAGCCTGAACTGCTGGCCTTGTGGCTCAAAATAACTTTGCAATGCAGCACATTAACCCCAGAGCGCCACACTGGGACTATGTCTAGAAGGAAATTAATACACAGGTGACATTCAAAATATGGGAATCCTTAAGATAGCATTCTTAGTATTGATATCTTGGTCAAATAAAAAAAATCATGTTAAAAATTACTAATAGTAGGGTGAAAGGTACGCAAAAGTGGAAAATTAAAGCCTTATGACTCAAAAGTGTCCTCAAAGACCAACATTAGATGACAGACCCACTGATGTCTTAAGTGACTGGGGACTTGGGTACTAATGGACAATTTGAAGATATCACAGTATAAAAAGAAAAACTTCTGATTTTGACAGGCTGGCAACATATTTGCAAAACACAGTCATGCCCTTTAGTTTTTTTGGGGTCATGAGGAAAAATGATTTCATAAAAATGCAGTTCTTGTTGTTAGGTGCCATCGGTTGGTTCCAACTCAGAGCAACCCTATGCACAATTGTTGTTATGTTTGAGCCCATTGTTGTTGTAAAGTAGCAGTGCAACTCATTTAAGGTATTTCTCTTTTTCATTGATCTTCACTTTACTGACTATGATGTCCTTCTTCAGGAGCATCATAGTCCTAATAGCATGCCCAAATAGCAAGAGACAGAGTCTTGCCATCCTTTTAAGGAGCATCTGGCAGTACTTTTTCCTAGGCAGATTTGTTTACTCTTCTGGCAATTGATGGTACTTTCAAAATTCTTCCCCAAACTCATAATTCAAATGCATCAACTTTTCTATGATTTTCCTTAATCACTATTCAACTTTCAAATACATATGAGGCAATTGAAAACACCATGGCTTCAGTCAGGCACACCTTAATCCTCAAACTAATATCTCTGCTCTTTAATACTTTAAAGAGGTCTTTTGCAGCAAATTTGCCCAATGTAATAAGCCTTTTGATTTGTTGTGAGATTTTTGTTTTCTTTACATTAAGATGCAATCCATACTGAAGGCTATAGTTTGTGATCTTTATTAGTATGTATTTTAAGTTCTTTTAGCCTCCAGCAAGTAAGGCTAAGTCATTTGCATATCAAAGGTTGTTAATGAGTCTTCTTCCAATCCTGATGCCAAGCTTTTCTTCATATATTATGTCTGTATAATCATTTGAATAGTGGTGATTTGTGTGCTGATGTGAGGCTGGAAGCTATGACACCTGCATTTTTAATATCAAGGTCACCCACGTTGGACAGGTTTCAGCAAAGTTTCCAGACTCAGACCAGGAAGAAAAATAGGAGACCATTTAAAAGGGTTAACCAATGAAAACTTTATGAATGCTAGTGTACATGATAGTACCAGGATAGTACCAGTGCATGAGTCCCTCAGGTTGAATGTCATTCAAAATTAGACTGGGGAAGAGCTACCTCCTCAAAGTAGAATTGAACTTAGTGATCTGAATGGAACAAAGCTTTTGACATCTTCATCTGCTAATGTAGCACAACTCAAAATGGGAAGAAACAATTTCAAAAATCCATTAGTAATCAGAATGTGAAATATATGAAATATGCATCTAGGAAAATTGGAAACAGACCACATAACTTGAGTTAAAACCAATGGTATTAGTCATTTTGCATCCAACAATGGTTTACTATGCAGGGAAAAATAAATTGAAGAGTAATGGTGTCAAATTCATCTTGAAAAAGTGTATTTCAAGATCTATCTTGAAGTACAATGCTACTTATAATAGGATAATACATATGCCTATGAGGAAAACTGGTTAGTACTGTTTGTTGTTGTTGCTACATGTCAGTGAGTCCGTACTGACTCAAAGTGAACTTATGTACAACAGAACAAAAAAACTGCCAAGTCCTGCACCAACCTCACAATTAATGCTACACTTGAATCCATTGTTGCTACCACTGGGCCAATCCATCTCATTGACGGTCTTCCTCTTTTTCTCTGACCCTGAACTTTACCAAGCTTGATGTCCTACTCTGGGGACTTGTCCCTCCAGATACTATTTCT